AACATTAAACCTCACCTATTTATATTAGAAATAACGCGTTCGCTTGTGTATATTACGTAATCTTACACGTCTTACATCACGTGATGATAATAGTGATAGTCACGTAGTAAAAATTACGAATTTGCAGAACACGTATTACCAATGCACTGTACGAGTGGCGCAAGGATGACGCAAGGGGATGCATTTCATGCGAGTTTATCATAAAAAATTTTTTTAATGACATGATCAACATGTTATCATTATTTCGATCACGGGACGCATGTCTAACTAATGTCTTATTATCTTCATCCATTTCCGTTCGCATTATTTGCTAATTGTTGCCCATTTCCGTTCGCATAATTTACTCGCATTGAGAGAGAGCGATAACGTTCTCTTTCATTTTCATCCAACGTGGCCCAAATCCACCGAGTTGTGCATGATATGGCTTCATCGAAAATTATTGACGAGTAAGTGTTAAGGCCTGCTTGATTAATTGTAGATCTTATAATGTAATAGAAAGCCCCTGGTGGACTCAGAACACATCGTGTGTTGGGCATTTGATCAATTATAGGTGCAACGTCAAGGAAAGGGATATTTGGCATCGTGTCGATATGATCTTTAAATATTTTAGCGATAGAATGTATTGTTTTTGCCATTCTTGAATGTTAATGAATATAATTTTCGGGAATGTTTCTTGTCGATATCATTTTGAAGGATAGCAACCAAATTCGCTATCCGAAGTAAACTTCACCATATAATTCTAGGAGACTTCAATTCCTATCCCAAGGACAGTCCTTCGATTGGTGCTTCAACATCTTCATACAAACAACTAATCTACAAACACCTCAACAATTATATCGATATTGGACAAATCGAGAAATCCCATTGGTACTTTAGACAGTAATGCGTACATAGTTGAAGAATTAGTCATGAGCTGGAATAATTAGCTTGTCACAAAAGTAAAAATAATTGATATATTAATTAAACGAGGGGGTATACATATTAAAATATTGTAATTATTGGTGCGGAATCACGCTAATTACAAGGCATCTTGGCCACGAATTGATCATGTGTAATGGCTTCCGTTGTTTCTTTAAAGTGTTTCGTCCTTTTTTTTTCAAATTCATTTATATACGCAGCATTATTTTTTATTGGCCTTAATAATTTATCATATACAGTATATTTACACAAAAAAAAATCACCTCGAGTCAATGGGTCATCTTTGTTTTCTTTTTTCGGTTACAATGCACAATTGCATCATGTGAAAATAAATATTATTGGTTCAATTTTAAGACAGATGACTTTTAAAATCACATGAATATTAGTTGAAAAAACATGATATAATATAATAACAAACGCCTCTTAAATTATTCAATATACGTACTTTATATGTTATGTTTTGGCTTTCGGATTTAATATAATTGGGTAATTCTTTTCGAAGGCGGACAGGGATTTTTCGGTCACTATAATTGTGATCCTAAAATTTACATTGTGTATGT